GATTTGTGATTGGTTTAAAGTATGTTTCAGGTGTTATCTTGGAAGTTTAAACAGATGATTTGTGATTGGTTTAAAGTATGTTTCAGGTGTTATCTTGGAAGTTTAAACAGATGATTTGTGATTGGTTTAAAGTATGTTTCAGGTGTTATCTTGGAAGTTTAAATAGATGATTTGTGATTGGTTTAAAGTATGTTTTTAAACCAATCACAAATCATCTATTTAAACTTCCAAGATAACACCTGAAACATACTTTAAACCAATCACAAATCATCTGTTTAAACTTCCAAGATAACACCTGCCTGAAACATACCCTGAAACATACTTTACGATCCTTTGTGTTGAAAACAGCAGTACGTCATAATTTAACGGCACTATCTAATCAAGCTGAACTTTGTAAGAACTTATGCTAATACCTAAAGTACCCCCCCCTCCTCGTGTGTGAAATTATAGGCGGCGGCACATATTTAAATTGAGGGGGGGGGCACCTTATTTGCTATGTTAACCGTAACCATCGAATTTCAGAACTGGAACGGCGACTTTCTATGATAGCTATAAACTATTCCCCATTCAAAGGGGAAGTTCGCTACCGGGTCAAAATCGGGGGTAAGTGCCCCTCCCCCTGGGTTTTGCAGTCCATTTATCCAAATGAGAAAATATATAACACTAACATCCAGAAAATTATATATATATATAAACTAAAAAAAAAAATAAACAAGACAAACACACAGACAGAGGACAGTAAACCCGTGCGAAACCCGTGAGGAATAAAATCGTTTAAATTTAAGATTTTTGTGTTTTATATAAAATGTGTGTAGCTTCTATCCTAGCGGCTAATTTATATACTAACATTCTGTTTGGACACTTGTCCAACAATTTAGTGCCATGTTTCGCCAAGGTCACGTCCGTATTCCGGATGTAATGAACCAGTCTCAGCATGACGCGCCATAGGTTTTCTGTCCCATCTTTTACATGTCCTAATCTCCGAATACCACCTGGAGTCGTGTCACGGTTATACCCAAGTATACGCTAACTTTTAGAAACTTATATTTCCACTTATAGAACGCGAAGAAACTGTTTCGGTAGATTCTCAAAACGCAGATCATGGCGGCACACTCGATAATTGTATATTATTTAGTAATATGTGTGTGTACTTAAAGGTGTACATTTTTTTTAGAAGTATAAGTTACTCTTGTCCAGAAAGAAGTTTCAAGTGCCAGCTCCTAACATATTCAATTTTGTTTAAAGAAAACAAAAAATATTATTTGTTTAATACCGCGCAAAGTTACTCGAGGGCTATCTGCGCTAGCCGTCCCAAATTTAGAAGTGATAGATTAGAGGGAGGGTAGCCAACACCACCTACCGCCAACTCTTGTAATCAACTAGTAGAATTGACCGTCACATTATAACACGGCTGAAAGGGCAAGCATGATCGTTGACGGGATTCGAATCTACGACCCGCAGATTGTGAGTCAAGTGCTCTAACCACTAGGCCACGTCAGGCCTCATATAAATATGAATCCTGATCTGTTATTTGATCCACCACTTACTACTTATCGTTTCGGGGAAGTTCACTCCTCGTCAAGAACAAAATAGCATCAGTGTTCTATATTTTACAATACAAACACCACATCCATATAGTTTCACTGTAGGGGATAAAAGACAACTTAGAACACAACGTACTTAGAATATTTGTCCACGGGTCACATGAGTTCAGTTGCGTTAAAGCACTATTGATTAATCTCAAACATTCTTTGTTCAATTTATCTCTGTTTGAGTACTTCTAAAAACCTTTAAGCAAGAAATAGATAATAATTCTGGGTTAATAAACTTTACTCTGTTTGTTCTAGGTGTTTTAAAGAAAAGTAGTCAACCAGTTTACAGAAAGAAATTAGTCAACCAGTTTACAGAAACAAATTATTCAAACAATTAACTCAAGCCAAGACCAAAGAAACGACAAACTGAAGAATTTCTACGCTAACTTTGGGCGAGTTCCTCCGACATGAAAAGTAGTAACATGATATGAAAGAATACAGCACGTGCCAAGAAGAAGCCAGAACAGCTTTCACTCATAGTTTCTCCTTGTTTTGTTCAAATTTCCAACAGAACTTTGGGGTTTACAGTTTCTTTCTGTAAACGCTGATTTATGAAACTATATAGGAGTTTAGTTTAACAACTGAAAATATGGAATTATCTTGAACATTCGATAGTTTAACACTGATCTTATTAACTTGATATTCGTTTAGCATTGCACGTATAAATTCAGCTATTAGTAACAGAGATTCTTGACAGGTTTTTCTAAACCCTGTAATACTGCTGTATTAATTTCTACAGTTACCGTTTTGGTGTAGCCCCTTTTTCAAAACTGTTTTATCCCAAATTGTTTACGGATTCCCGAATAACATTCGACTCACACAAATAAACCAAACTGCCACCAATATTATAATGAACCCCGCTAACTACCACTGCGATTCTCTGTCTTTTAGATAGCAAATGAACCGCGTTATAACAGCCAATAACACGTTATTGTGTTAATGCCACACACAATAAGTGTAGTGAAAGGTATAGAAATAAGTCGATAACTTTATTTAAAATTCAAAAACAGAAAAAAAATGCCACTGTTAACGTTAAATGATGCATTTTAGCTGTTTTTGAATTTCAGGTTTTTTTAGAGTGTGTGAAACATTTATCAAGTCGATAACTTGATGGTTATGTTTGTTAATGGTCGAAACTGAGAATTTTCGTGTTGGAAACCGAATTATGCTGGTTTTCAAAGTAAAACAATTATTTAGAACAAAACATCATTCCCTCCCATACAACGAAATTTTCAGGATAACCCGGATGAAAAGTTGTTTGGTTTGTTATGAATTTCGCGCCAACCTACACGAGGGCCATCTGTGCTAGCCGTTCCTAATTTAGCAGTAAAAGACCAGAGAGAAAGCAGCTAGTCATCACCACCCACCGCCAACTCTTGGTCTATAATAACGTCTTCACGGCTGAAAGGGCGAGCATGTTTGGTGAGATGGGGATTCGAACACGCGGATGGCGAGTTGAGCGCCCCCTGTCCACGACAGCTGAAAGGCGACCTGTCGTATTGTTTTTGTATGTAGTTAACTACACAATGGGCTATCTGCGCTGGTATCGAAACCCGGTTTCTATTGTTATAAGTGCACAGACTGTGTCAGTAGGGGACGTCCACGTAGAAGCTTAGATCTTTTTATCCAGAAATGATTTAACGAGGTTAAGATCAAATGTTTCGTTTTCAACATGATTTACCGAGACATGTAAGGTGAATATACTGGAAGCCTCATGTAGGAACTCAATTAAAAACTAAATCTTTGTACGGGAGAAGTAGTCACCCTATTGATTATAATCCCCACATGACTATGGAGTAATTAATTTTATGACATAATTTGCCGAGTAAAACAAGAATAAAGCTCTCACTAGGTAGTCATGTTATAACGTGTTTAATGGAATAGTTACTTCTTTACGTGGAAGTAATTGAATCGATTGTAAGCCTTACAATAAGTGCTTATTAAGTGTATCAGTTTTGACAAGATCGGTGACGACATATTTTAAAAGTAAATTAATAAGATGATCAATGATCTTACTTGTTTCGATCTGTACCCCGTCTCTAGTGGTTCCCTTATTCTGTCACATTTTTCTTGTTATCAATACGAAGGAATCTCGTTTCTTGTTCAAAAACAAAAATTATTTTTTAGTTTCAGATATTTGAACATTTCCTTCAATTTTCATTTAGTTATTTAGTAATTGTAAGAATCCACCAATGAAATCAAAGGAGAATATGATACGTCAAGTTACAGTAAATACAGGAATTATTGAGTGTATTTACTTGTAGAGTAAGTAATATGTCAAGTACAGGAATGATTGGGTGTGTTTACTTGTAGAGTAAGTAATATGTCAAGTTACAGGAATTATTATGTGTATTTACTTGTAGAGTAAGTAATATGTCAAGTTACAGGAATTATTGGGTGTATTTACTTATAGAGTAAGTAATATGTCAAGTTACAGGAATTATTGTGTGTCTTTACTTATAGAGTAAGTAATACGTCAAGTTACAGGAATTATTGGGTGTGTTATTTACTTGTAGAGTAAGTAATATGTCAAGTTACAGGAATTATTGGGTGTATTTACTTATAGAGTAAGTAATATGTCAAGTTACAGGAATTATTGTGTGTCTTTACTTATAGAGTAAGTAATACGTCAAGTTACAGGAATTATTGGGTGTGTTATTTACTTGTAGAGTAAGTAATATGTCAAGTTACAGGAATTATTGGGTGTATTTACTTATAGAGTAAGTAATATGTCAAGTTACAGGAATTATTGGGTGTGTTTACTTGTAGAGTAGATAATATGTCAAGTTACAGGAATTATTGGGTGTGTTGTTTACTTGTAGAGTAAGTAATACGTCAAGTTACCGGAATTATTGGGTGTGTTGTTTACTTATAGAGTAAGTAATATGTCAAGTTACAGGAATTATTGTGTGTCTTTACTTATAGAGTAAGTAATACGTCAAGTTACAGGAATTATTGTGTGTCTTTACTTATAGAGTAAGTAATATGTCAAGTTACAGGAATTATTATGTGTGTTTACTTGTAGAATAAACAATATGTCCGCAAATAAATACAAGTAAATACACACCCAATCATTCCTGTAACTTGACGTATTACTTACTCTATAAGTAAACACACCCAATCATTCCTGTAACTTGACGTATTACTTACTCTATAAGTAAACACACCCAATTTGACCTGTAGGCTACAGCTTTGAAAATCTATCGGAGATTGGCAACTTATTATAAAAACAAAGGAACAATGTCACTTATGTCTGCCAATGAAAGGTTTTATTTTGTCGATACAGAATACCTTATTATTTTTCAATTATACTACAAATATATATACTTAAGTAAGGAAGCACATTAAGTTAATATAATAATAGGTAGACAACCAATGATTTATAAGGAAAAGTTATATTGATGGTGGAACATACTACAAGTTTCGACATAAGACAGAACAATGTTCTGTTGAAACATGTATGTTCCACCATCAATAAAACTTTTCCGTATAAATCATTGGTTGTCTTCCTATTATTATTATTACAAACATATATGAAGTCGTGACTATTTCACTTATGAAAACATTTATTGCAGAGGTAAATATAGGATTTCTATAATAATACAAAAGAATCGTAATCACAGACACCGAAATCTACCAGTCCGCTTGACTTAGGCTTAACATTAGTTACAGTATTTGTCGGCGTTATAAGAAGAGACGTTTTTCACGGTTTGCCGGAGCCACATCGACTTATCTAAGGATTAGTCATCAAGATTTCCCAATGTTTCATAAAATAAATATTAGTTTTTTCAGCTAAGAAGATCATTACGTGATCTGCTCAATGAAGCTTGCTTAATTAGCCAAACCCGACAAGCCCACGCTCTCTTGATCCTTTACAGTCTTTGTTACGAGTATGAATTCTCAAAAATATGGGAAGATAAGTGAATCCTGGATGTCGAAAACAGTTTCATCAACACGGGACTTTTGAGTGGCACTTCCTTACGACAGTGGTTTAAAAAGCACGTGGGATAATGTGTCCCAGGCAATAATTGTCAATGATTCATAAAGGATGGAATTATTAGCCGACAAGAGGAGCTCGAGGAAGATGGACGACGAGGAAAACATCGCACCTGGCTTGTGTCCCGTCATGGTCAAGTGGTTAGGGCGCTCGACTCGCAATCTGAGGGTCGGGTTCGAATCCCCATCCCACCAAACATGCTCGCCCTTTCAGCTGTGGGGGCGTTATTCGTTGGTAAAAGAGTAGCACAAGAGTTGGCGGTGGGTGGTGATGACTAGCTGCCTTCTCTCTAGTCTTACACTGCTAAATCAGGGACGGCTAGCGCAGATAGCCCTCGTGTAGCTTTGCGC